GTAAAAACTAGACAAAATCTAGTATGTACAAAGGGCACGAAGCTTCCACTAGTCAACAAGACAACAGACAACTATGCGGCTACACCACCATCTTATTTCACCAAAACACTGTAATAGGATGGGTCCTTGCAAAAAAAATGTAATAGCATGGGTGAGTACATGTAACCTGCTTTTAGGAGGGGTTGACACAGATGATCAAGTTGTTTTTGGAATCACGGAGCTTAAAAGGAAAACTACATACTGAGTTATTCTTATGATTCGATTTGCCATCCTCACGACAACATAAATTGACATGAAAAACATTTGATTTGCCATGCTCTCCTGGCGAACGTCGCTTCCAAGTATGTTGTTCGGGCATGGAAATTTTTTTTAGCAAGCATGGCAAGTTCTGTTATGTTTTGTGTGATTGAAGTTTTCAACTTTTGGTAAGATATCAATATGAGGAGAATAAGGAGTGTCAAGACTCTAAGCCTAGGGATGCCCAAGAACCCAAGGTAATATTCATGGAAGACCCAAGCAACTAAGCTTGGGGATGCCCCGGGAGGCATCCCCTCTTTCGTCTTCAACATTATCGGCAACCTTACTTGGAGCTACATTTTTATTCGTCATGTGATATATGCTTTGCTTCGAGCGTCATTTTCTTTTAGTTGTATCTACTTGTTACTTAGAATATGTTTTTATCTTTTATTTCAGTAAAAGTGTCAAGGATAGCCTTCGCCATGCTTCGTTTGCAAGTATATGAGTTGGTGTCTCAAAACTGAAAGTTGCACGCTATTGCGTGAATTCTCTAGAAAAGTCCGAATATGATAAAATGTTGAAATTTTGACAAAATAAGCTATGATAAATTTTATACAGCGAGATAACTAAAAGATCCCAGAGTGAAAAATTGAAAACAAGCTGGACGGGTCCTTGTCGGTGTCAAAACTAGCAGATCTCGGGTAGGGGGGCCCAAGTTGTGCGTCTGAGAATCAATGGTAACTACGGATAAGGGACACAATGTTTACCCAGGTTCGGACCCTCTTAATGGAGGTAAAACCCTACTCTTGCTTGATTATATTTGAGGATATAGGGGTTACAAGAGTTGATCTACCTCGAGATCGATTCGGCTAACCCTAGGCAACTAGCCTAGCAATGTTGTGATCCAACCTCCGATCTAACCCCCCGGTTTATATACACACCAGAGGGGCTTAGGGTTGTACAAAGTCGGTTTTACATAAAAGAATAATATATCCGGACACCTATACTTGCCATCCACGCATGTGAGAGTCGCCACCGGACACGAGAGATAATCTTCTGTCTTTTATCTTGACGGCCCATTAGTCCGGCCTACATCAATAGACCGGACGCCTGAGGATCCCCTAGTCCAGAACTCCCACAGTAGCCCCTGAACCAGTCTTCAATGATGATATATTCGGCGCTCAGATTGTTTTCGGCATTGCAAAGCGGGCTCCTTAAAGAATACACATCGGATTTCCTCTATAAAAGAATTGTATCCAAATTTTTGCAATAAATACAACCCTTAGCCGCGAAGGTGGGATATATAAAAAATAAGCATAGTGTCTTTTACTGACAACTTTTTTGACGAAGCGTCAGACTTGACCCTTAGGCATTTTGAACCGTTTTCACACCCCATGTTCCGTGTTTCAAGGCCACGCCTCATTGGCACGTCCTGTCAAAATAGAGATCGTGCCCACTTAATACGGGATTGCATATCAATGATATTTGGGTAATCCAACCGACTGCGGCGCATACCCACATTGGGAACAAAAGAGGTTTTAAGGCTACGGGGCAGGCGCTCGGTATTGACGGCCTATATAAGCGGGTAAAGATCCATCTTTTCTACCCCACGCCTTCTTCCTTCCTCAGCCTTCCCATCTTCGAGCTCTAGCGCCCAATCTTCGATCCTCCCCACTGCCGCCAACCTCTCCTGCCATGTCCGGGTCCGGCTTTCAAGGAAGTGGGTGGCCTCCTCCTTGAGGGAGAAGTACATCAAGGAGCTCCGGGAGGCGGGGTACCTAAGTACGGACATCGCGTGCAGGATCCCTGTCAAGAAGCAGGTCATCCTTACTCCGAAGCCAGGCGAAAGAGTGGTATTTATCCCTCACTTCCTCCGCGGACTAGGGCTTCCACTTCACCCTCTCGTCCGCGGCCTCATGTTCTATTACGGGCTAGATTTCCATGATCTAGCCCCAAACTCCTTCCTCCACATTTCTGCGTTTATCGTCGTGTGCGAGGCG